TTCTGATTTTTCTTCCTCTTTTGCTGTATGTGGAAATAGGTGCAAATGTTTTTCTATTTTGTCTAGTTGTGTTTTTTTTATCTGAACTCACTTTCATTCTGAGCTCACTTTCTTGCCACCTTCCGAAATCTGATGGATAGACAGGAACSAAGGATCTAGACTCTAAAATCAGAACCATATTTTTCACCAGCTTCTGAAAGATCTGGAAGAAATTTGTCTGCTACAGCGTGTCAAAATCAGACATGGTCCAAAGATGACAGCAATACCATATATTTAACACTTTCCCAAAATATGTCAGCTGGTTCTTGCAAGACTTACTGAGATTTTTTTTTTCTTCTTTTTTACACCAAAACCTAAGAGAGCACATAAATGGTGCTGTGCATTAACTTTGTTCTGGGGCTGTCTAGTTTAAAGGTGTATATTTAATGCTTCACTGGATTAGTTGTTCAGGTCTTAACCAAAGACCTAGCAAGCTGCACATGATCACTCTGAATTTTGAGCACATTTGTTGCTAAATGAGGCAAGAGCAGACACTGCACACCAGCCACGTTGGAGTCCGGTGCACAAATGTGAGGAAATGAGTTACATTCATTCCTTAAGCACAATAAAATCTTTTCACTGGTGCTTAGGGTTTTAAGATATTTCTTCTTGGGCTGTCAGAAATTCTGTGAGCTTCAGAGGCACAAGCATATTTTTTTTTCATCTATACTTGCATCCTACCAAGATAAATAACACTCCCAAAATAAAAATGTTTATTGTTCCTCTGAAAATCTGTTGCATTTATCYATGATGTTTTAGCTGTACTAACACAGTTGTGGGACAAAAGGCTTTGTCTTCACAGCTTCTTCTAGTCATTTCCAGTCATTCCTATTAAGCCAGACCATATTCCAGGAATATGTAACACTATCTTCAAAGTGCACAAAGCACTGATTTGGTGATATAGCACTCTAAATCCTATTGGCTCCTCAGAAAGAAGACTTGGTCATGTTTTCAAGTGTGGCAATATATGAAAATTGTTGTTAAATRCTGACTTTGGGGGGAATGCTCCAAGGAAAGAAGTGATTAGACAAAACTTAACTAGTCAAACACTTATCTAGTCAATGTTATTGAAGGAGAAATCCTGACAAGCAGCTTTGATTAGAGCAAATCCCCTCCACTACGTACTAGTAAAGAGGGATTTTTTTCTTCCATCTCATTTCTTGAAACAGGACCCAGGTCTGAGAACATGACTCTTTGGGGTCATGCCAAATGTGAAGAACTGATGTGAAGGCTCAACTATACCCCTTAGCTTTGAGTTAAAAAATGGAAAAAAAATCACTCTTTTGAAAGGTACTAATCTGTAAGTACCTGTATGAAATAGAGGATGAAATGGCAATACTGCTTTTTGTCCAGAACCGCCTGCTCTCTTCCCATGGGGATGCTAATGGGAGATGTGCTCATACACAGGAAGGCAAAATCCAAGCAACAACCAGTGGGTGACTGCAGCGTTTTGTTGTTCTCACTCCTTTGACTTAGGTGGAAAAAAACTGAATTATCACAGTGCCCACGATATGAACGAGCCCACATGTTCAGCACAATATTGCTATGGGGAATACATTACAGTAAGCACCACACTAACCTTGATAGTCTCTGAGTACAACTTGCAAAATTGCAAAGCTGCATGTTAGCTGTACAGCTTATTCCAGGTAAGAGCAAAGAAAAAGAATGCTACGGATGAACACAAATAGAATTTATCATATAGCCTCATGGAACTGCTTTAAAATTTATTTTTACATAGTCTCACAACAGATTTTGATATTATTTTCCATGTGACTCCTTTAATAGGAAGTGATGACATTTCCTAATACATTTAGAAGGCTTAAAAAATCGTAAAATACCTTTTCTTTTTTTTATGAACAATTTTACCTCTTTGGCTATTAATGGACAAACTCCTATCAGTTGATAAGCTTAGTCTTATTTTTTGCTCTTAAGATTAGTAACAATTAGTATCATCCTCATGTATTTGCCGGAAATTTAATTCATCTTAATTTTTAACCTCTCTAGCTCATATTGGTTAACATGAATAAAAAGTCCAGTTCTTTAGGCAACTTCATTAAGAAAGSATAATAATGTTTTGCAATCTGAGAGCCGGTAAGGCTGGGAAAATGAAGCAATTATTTGACTGGGTGTTAGGAGTGCATGTGGGGTGGTTTATTTACAGCGTGACTGCAGTGCACACTCTATGAGAGGTCTGGCTGCATCTACTGAGGCTGCCAGCATCACGGTCATCTTTGATCTATTGCAGTGCTTCCAGAGCTCTATTTAATGTGGAAATTACATGTAATTTCTTAGGGATTTTGCAAGTCCTGAACCATTTAGCTAAATGACTGTAATGCACAGTAACAGCTCTTGCTTCACAGACTTACAAAAACGGGAGTTGCGCCGGGCGTGCCTGGACCATAACTAACAGGCAATGAATAAAGCACGCTTATATGGGTAATGAATCAAAATGCATCTCCTTGGGAAAAGGAGGGCCATTGAGAAAAGTCTTGGGAAAAGGTAATGCAAAAACCAGAAATGATATATTTTCTTCCAAAAATTTGCATATCCATTTCTTGTTCAAGATGAAAATACAGGCATTTATTCATTTTTCTACTTCTCCTTTTTATCCTGTTAAATCACTGAATTCCCCATACAGAAACAAGGCAAGGCAGTATGAATGGAAGAACGCTTTTTACCCATCATTGACAAAAATATCTGAAAGAAATGTGGTACAGCTGCCCCGTGGAGCTCCCTGCTGTGCTCCCCCACCTTTGCAGAAGTAGCTGTAGCCCTACACATATGCCCTGGAACTGGAGCCTCACACTCCTTGGGCAGCATCCAGCCCTGCAACATTTCTAAAATAGTGGTGCCAGTACATTAAGGGTCTGATCCAACTTGAATTGAGGTCAGATAAGGTCTTTTTCATTCATTTCAGTTAATGTTGGAWCAGGCTTTAATGCGGCAACATGCTTATGCAGAGTCTCTAAGGAAATAATCTTGAAAGGGAAAAAAAAAGCCCTCTAGTTCTACTGTGATTAATATTTTATATCATTCATCTATTATTTATATTTATATTACTCAGTCTATAAGTGGGCTCTTCACTGAAGCCTCTTCATCTTCAGGATATAAATAGAAAATAACACTACACAATCTATAAACACATGAGGCTTTGAAAATTAAATAATTTGTTTTCTCAAGACCCTCTAATTAGAAATAAATTGATCAAAATAGTAAAATACTTCCAGACTGTATCAAGATGGATTTCCTAACTTTACTATAAAATTAAAAGAACTGCCACTTCATAGTTTGCCAGGGGGCTCAGGTCTTCCCCTTCTCATTTTCTTCTCCAATATAGTACTACCTGCAAGTCTATATCAGAGTTCATATGAGTATGAGGAAAATCTAAAGATCCTCCTAAACTTATCAATATCTACATCATTTTTAGCACCATTTTTAGCATCTTATCTTCCTCTGCTGTCCTGTTAATTCTCGAAGAACTGCTTGATTCTTGAAGAAATGCTTGAAGAATAAAGGCTATAGGACCTTTCAGATCTAAGACTAAAGGATAATCTTAAAACACGCTCCTGAAACACTATGGTTGCAAACTTTAGCTTTAATCCTGATGAGCAGTTGCAGCCATGCTGTCACCAAAACACATCACTCTGGCTGTACTTTTCCATAAGAACTGAGCTGGCATACATTTGCTACCAGGAGAATTTCTGTGATTGGATTCTGGCTTGGATGAACACAGATGGATCCCTTTGGATGGCAATTAGGTGCCYGAATACCTTTGCTAAAGTTGAACACTTGCTCCTGCCTTTCACCGATACTTTCTGTGGCCTAGGAGAGGTGTCTCACTGTTAGATGTGGTGAGTTTTATGAACCTCATAGATAGCTAATTGCTCCTGGCTTTGCAGCTACTATCCTAATGCAAGGCAGCAGGAAACAAGCAATTCAAGTATTGCAGCCTTGAGCTGACCTTCCCATCCTATGGCTAAGCTTAAGTGCTTGCAAGCTTTATCAAAGAATTAGATTATTAAAGTCTGTTACAAATACATCTGCCAATATTTAAAAAAGGCCGTTGCATGTCAAACCCGAAACTTACCTGAGAAATGGAAGTCCATAGACAATTATTTTCTTCACAAACACCAAATTGAAAATTGTAACAAAAGATATTTCTAGAATACATTACAGAATACTAGCATGCTATGCAAATATAATCAACCAGCTGAAATCTAAACTAGTGGTAAGTTCTTCTAAAGGCATCTTGTTTATTTTTTTCTCAACTTCCATCCTACATTCACACTGGTTTAAAATCATAAAAAAGTCTGTGAAAGCTCAGATTAAGGTCACTTTAAGATCTGTTTTACCAAATACTTCAGAATAATACCGAATTATGTGGAAAAACTAATAAAGTATGTGAGAGCCATCTGTGGCACAAACAGTTTGATAGATGCTCTTTGGTAAATTAGTAAGAAGATAAAGCCTAAAATAAGCTTTTCAAGATGAGTTTACAGGCTAAATAGCAAGTAATGCATTAACATTTGCATTTATCATTTTAAAGAGTACATAAATGCTGAAAAGATACAAACCTCTATTCCTAGTGCTATTCTAGTTTTCATAGGGAAAATATTTGGAAAAGTATTACTTGAACTTTAAAAACATGAGGATCTTTCTTTTACACTTAATCTTACATTACACTAGTAYATACTTTCTTCACAAGGAAAATGTATAAAATTAATCTTACAATATAAACACTATAAACAACTCCCATATCTTATGGACCAAGAAATTTTGTAATGACTTAAGTATAAGAATTCTAKAATAATTATGTCAAAATATGTACATTAATTCCAATGTCCTAGCCCATGAAGAAACCCAAATAAGCTCTACAAGAGTTGCCCTCAGTCTTATCTACTTAGGAATGCACAGCTTTGCTACTCTTGCCGAATTTCAGACAGTCCCCAAACAAGAAAAAATTACTTATTTTTGTGTAGTAAGTTCCCAAATTTTTGCATAAATCCTCTGAGTTTATTTTCATTAGGTTGCAGTGGATGGTAAGCAGTTGAGTTGTAGGYGGACATGTGATTACTCCTGCTGTAATTGTTCCCTAGCGGTTTGCCTTTGATATCGGAGAGATGTGAACTGCTATTTGCTGCATTTCCAGCAGACTGGCTGGCATTTTCAATTTTATAGAATGGCTCRAAGCGACTATAAACACGCCTTTCACTCAAACGAGGTCTTAGCTCCTCTTGACGTTTTGAGCTTGCCAGCTGGGGTACCACTGAACTTGCTCTTTGTAGGCTAGGAAGGGGCGGTGCAGTCTCAGGAGGAGAATTCATTGCAATTTCTTTTACATCCTGATACTGAATTTGTTCTGTGTTAAATCTCGGGGTAGATGCATCTCCTGCAGTTTCTATGAACTTACTTTCAAGGGGGCACAGGACAGGACACTTTTTATTGCATTCATCCGATGGAGGTTTTGGTGGTTTGGGTGACTTGGGAGACTTGGGAGATTTTGTTGGGCTACTCGTGACATCTTCTTTACTTCTGTGCAAGCTACCTTGAGAATTTGATGATGTATTTCTCTTTCTCCTTGGGGAAGAATCTGTCTTATTCTCAGAAAGCTTTGGTTTTTGATTTTCCCCCTCAGAAGCTAAAGTGTCAGAACTACTGCACATTCTGTAAAAGGCAGGGGCTTTGTTTTTTGACAAATTTTCCTTCTTATCTGGCGTGAGATTAAGAAGTGACCGCAATTTCTGGGATCCTTTCTTTAGAAAACTTGGGGAATTCTTAGTTTCTTTCTTTGACRTGCAGTCTTTACTTGACTCCTCTTTGTTGGCTTCAGCTAGAGCAGCCATAGAAATTGCCTTGGTAGCAGCTGGGCTCTTCAGCTCTTCTCTGGCATTCCTCTCCTCCTGTAGCACGTGGTTGGTCACACTGTGCAAACTTTTAGAGCTCTTCAGTAAGTCTTCTGGAAGTTTGGGACTAACTGGTTGTTTAAGCCTATGCCTATTCAGTGTGCTGTAAACATAACTGGATGACTGTTTGTTGGTACCTGGGTCTAATATAGACTTTGAATTAAACATGGGAAAACTTCTCCTTTTCAGTATATTTTCATTTTGAATGTTCTTTGCATTTTCTGCATGTTTGTCTGCACACAGTGTTGTGTACAAGTAGACAGGTGAGTCCCCTGTTGCATTTGAATTTACACTAGGTTTTGTGCTGTCTGCAGCATGAATTCTGTGGTTTACTGGTGCATCTGATTTAAGTGGGACATTCGTGCTAAGCTCTTCTGAAATGCTACCTGTTCCATTTTCCACACTTGRGGTGTGATTTGATGTTCCTTTAGGTGTTGCACTTCCTTCTGAGCCAATTATTGTTGAATTTGAAGAGCTTGCACAGCTGCTTACTTCCTGCTGTTCGGGTAGAGTTGGCTGAAACACCAGCGATGATCTTAAACGAGAATGAGAATAAAGGGCATGAGCTTTAATATTGTCAGCTGTGTCATAGCCCTCGTATCTGTCACCCAAAGCTGAGCCATTGGACTCTGCTGGATAATCTGATTGATCGTTTAAGTATGACTTAATTCGCCAGTTACGTAGGAATGATTTTGTCGTGTGCTCCAGGGTCGGCATCCTCTGCTGCAGGTGGCGGATATGATTATCTGTTCCATTAAAAGATCTCCGTACAATTGAATTCCTTTCTGCGAGATTTATCTTTGGTCGTGAAAACTGATCAGCAAAACTTTGCTGCGGTGCATTGTAGTTATTTGCATATCCTCCTCGTAAYGAAGACACAATACTAAGGCTATCAGATGGCATTTTCCAAGTATTTGATGGATTATTGGCTCTATTCATAGCTCTGTTGAGCAATAGGTAAGGAGTTCTTTCCGGCTTCTCTCCAGCATAGCTATGTCTCTTCCAGTGCTCATTTTTTTCACTAGGTTGATACTGCTGGATTGGATTTTGCACATTAAAACCTGGATGAAATGGCTGTTTGTTAAAAGCTTGGTTTCTCAAGCCATATTTATCAATTTCATTTATTGCATATCTTACACGAGTTTTCAAGTAAACAGGATCCAGCTTGTGAACCTGGTCTTGCCTGCCAAAAAGGTTCCTTTGGCTAGAAACTGAAGCTAAAGAAGACACTGAGTGCTGGTATGTATCATTATCCCAAAGTGTCCTGCGACTGTTTACCCGCACTATTTCAGGGGCAAATGCACTAGGAACAGAAGAACGGGCATACAGTGTCCTGAACTCTTCATCAAAGGACTCAACCAGCTGTCCTGTGATAACTTGAACCATGCTGAGGTTCGTTTTTTCAAATGACCACATAAAGCTGAAAAAAAAAGAACAAATGAACATTAGAAACAGTTCTTCTGAACGGATGCATTGTACTGTTTCCTCTTGATAAGAAACCTTTCCCCTCAAACTTGGATTCTGCAGACATACTTTTTAAATAAATAAATGACTCTGAGTATGATTCATGCAACTTGTATTTGGGAGGTCTTATCTAATGCCACTTGAACTCAGTAGGAGGCTTTCCATTGATTTCAATGAGAGGAGGAATGGGTGTTTTATTACATAATTGCCCTTATAAGCACTAGATATTGCAAAAAATATTCACAAATGTGGAGCACTGGAGTACAACTGCCAAATGGAACAAAATCATCTCTAGAACAATAGAAACCAGGACCCACTACATTCAATCCTGAGTCAGAGAATGCTATTGTGYGGTTACGTTGAGTGTGTTTGAAATAATATGCAGAATTGTTTCCACCATTGTGAATAAAATTAATTTTAAATATATTTTAAAAAGATGCATCCCAGAATTGTTAAAAAGATTACATTTTCTACTGCACACACCAGACTGGGTATTGGCATTTCTTTTAAGAATAATGTGCAATGTTCAGATGAACCATGTTTTCCTGTTTTCTACCATACTCTTACTAGATGAAGATATGAAAAAAAAAAGTGGAGTAACTCCTCAGTGTAGAAATCAGTTTTATAGCTACTTTATAGCTGTAAAAAGAAAACAAATACAGTAACAAGTACATTAAGAAATTTTCAACAAGCCTGAAGTCAAGGTGCTAAAACCATGGAATCCGTAAAGCTGTCTTATTATACTGCTTTCATATCAAAAAATAGGTGGAGGAAAATTTTAAATTTACCTTAATTGCATTTACCTTCTGGATATTTTATTGTATTTATACATAAATATTACTGACTTTGTTCTGTAAGTTTTGTATCTTTCAAGAAGTAAAAGTATATTGAGATTAAATTAAATCATTACCCACAAGTTTTTTTTCTGTTTATTTTCATTGAATTACTTATTAAGAATAGAATGTTTTGTAATTTTTTATAAAAAAAATCTTAACTTTAAAGAGAATTCTGAGAGTAGGAATTCATAAAGACTCATCTTTCCTGTTAAAAATCACTAGACTCTTTTACCAATCAAGCTTATTTTCTACAGAAATTGACAATTGCAGCCCTTACAGCACACGGTCTTGATGCAGTGTTATTTTTCAAAACGAAATGAGAAAAACTATCACATTGTCTCAAACTCTAACACTGTCTGTGGATGTCAAAGCTTTCAGATTCTCTTTGGTCTCTCTTACACTGATTCATTTATGAACTTGTCACTTACCCCATCAGTGACAGTCTGAACTTGGAGCTGGCTGCATCTTAGAGGAAATAAACATCTAGATTGCAAAAAGCTTACAATGCTGTAAATCTGTAAAAGTCAGTGGCTGTGGATCTGACACCCAGCCACCAGGCTGATGAAAATAATTCAGTGATCAAAGGAGAGAGAGGTAGCATGAAAAAAAAGGAAAATATCTAATAATGTATGAAACAAAATTGTGCCTGTTTTAACTCATTTGTATTTCCATCTCTGCAAAGCTGTAAGTTCTGCCAGCCTATGGTCTGCATACACATACTGGGAAAGAAGGTGGAGAGCATAATAATGGAATTTAGCCAAATATAAATATAGGYTACTTCAACTTAGACAATTCTGAATTTGAAAATGATATGGCACTTACAGGGTGCCATATAATCACACAGAATCACAGAATGGTTGAGGTTGAAGGAACCTCTAGGGATTATCTCGTCCAACTCTCCTGCTCCAGCAGGGACACCTAGAGCACATGGCAGAAGGTGGCATCCAAGTGGGTTTGGAAGACCTCCGAAGGAGACTCCACAACCTCCATGGGCAGCCTGTTCCAGGGCTCTGGCATCCTCATGGTCAAGAAGCTCTTCCTCATACAGAGCTGAAACTTCCTGTGTCTTAATTTGTACCCATTACCCCTTGTCCTATCACTAGCCACCACTGAGAAGAGTTTGGTGTCATCCTCTTCACATTCTTCCCTCAAGTCCTTATACATGTTGAAAAGATCCCTTCTCAGTCTTCTCTTCAGAGAAAACAGGCCCAACTCACTTAGTCTTTCCTCATACAAGAGATGCTCCAGTCCCTTAATCATCTTTGTTGCTCTACRCTGTACTCTTTCTAGAACTTCCACGACCCTCTTGTTTTGGGGAGCCCAGAACTGCACATAGTACTCCAGGTGCGGCCTCACCAGAGCTGAATAGAAGGACAGGATCCCCTCCCTCCACCTGCTGGCAACACTCCCCCTGATGCAGCCAGGATCCCATTGGCCTTCTTGGCCACGAGGGCACACTGCTGATTCATGGTGAACTTGGAGTCAACCAGCACTGCCAGGTCCGTCTCCACGGAGCTGCTGGTGCCTAATCTATACTGGTGCCTGGGGTTATTCCTCCCCAGGTGCAAGACCCTGCACTTGTCCTTGCTGAACCTCATGAGCTTCCTCTCCAACCTGTGTAGGTCCCTGTGACCTCTGGAATTGTTGGCCACTCCATTTGCACAGACCTCTGGATTGTTGGCCACTTGGCCATTTGCACAATTGTTGCACAGACCTCTGGATTGTTGGCCACTCCATCCAGTTTGTTATTGTCTGCAAACTTGCTCAGAGTCTACTCTGTCCTTTCATCTAAATTACTGATGAAAAAGCTAAACAGTACTGGGCCCAATACTGATYCYGGGGGACACCACTGACTACAGGCCTCYAACCTCCATGGGAACTCGGCTCCATTTATCACCACCCTCCGAKGTCTGCCACTCAGCCAGTTCTCAATCTACTTCACTGTCTAAATCTACCTCACTGACATATAAACACATAATGTTAATGTTAGAAGATTATATAAAAACATAATGTTAGTGTTAGAAGATTAWTGCAAAGAGGAATTATCAAAGAGAGCTTATGAAATATTTTGTTAGCTTTTTCTASAATGGATGTTAAAATTACTTAAAGCACTGCAGGACAAATCAGATTTTTTTTCTCTTTATCTTTATGTATCAAATCTTCAATTGAAGTAAAAGCTATATCATTTAGTTCTCATTTGTGAAAAACTAAGAGAGGTCTCAAATTTTGGCTTTGTATTAGATTAGCTACCAGCAAATACTTATGATAACTTATTAAATTACATAAAAATAAACAGATTTGCTGACAGTTTACCAGAATAATTTTTAGAAACAGAAGAAACATTTTGCAATAAGTAGACATATATTGAGATGACTGGTGCTCTGTTGGGCACCTCTGTAACTTGATCTTACCTGTAAGAACCATATATGACTTTCTTACAGTCAACAAGAAGAAATTTTTGTTCCATTTTTCCATGGAATTTTGCTCCTGATTTAGAATAGTAATCTTGTCCTTTTACTGTGCGCACTCTCATATTCTGAAAAAGACAATTGAAATACTTTAATTGTAATACTATATTCTATATTTAGTGTTGTACAGTTTAAAATCTATATGTATGAAGAGGTATATTATTGCATATAATTAAATTGTGCTGGGCAGTAAAATCTGATCAAACGTGCTTCCCTGGGCAAAAAGTCAAGCCCTTGCTTTGCCTTTGCGTGCAAAAGAGTGATGAGGCTTGCTAGAGCAGGGACAAGTGAAATCTCCCTATTTCACAGTCACCATTCCCAGAAATGAAGTTCTGGCACAAAAGAGAGAGGCCACTYGGAGGCTTTATTGCTGAAGGAATTTCTCATGCACTTGCCTAAAACATAGGAAATTCTACAGAGAAGTTGTAGAATTTGTAATGATACACTGTCCACTACAATTTAATGAACTGTATTTGATTCCAAACAAGTAATTCAAAATATTAGGAAAAAAAATCTCTATAAAATGAAAGCATCTTTCCAAAAATACATACTTTCTAAATCACTATATATTTTATRGTTTTGATTTCTATCTTAAAACACACCTTAAAACAAAGAACCTTGTAACTTTCTCAAAGATAATTTGCAATGACTAGAGTTACGTATAAGAACTGCTCAGCTGGCAAATCATGATCTAACTCAACCTATTTAAGTTCCTTRCATTTGCTGCATTAGATGAGTTTTTACTTAGCACTTTTGTGATGCAGTGTTTGAACAAAAAATGCATTTCAATTAAAATATATGAAGACAGCATTTAAAATGTATTGTTAAACATTATTTTATTACTAAAATTGTTTAMAATATTTCTGTTAGTGATTTCAATGTCTTACAAATATTCTAGAAACAACAGATAGAAAGTTTATTTGCTATTCTTAGTTTTGCATATTGAATTTATTAAATAAAAGAAACATTATTAGTGCTATCAGGTTTTTTAAAATATGTAGGTTCAGAAAAAGTGCAGGTAGGTAGTCAGATGAGTTTCAAAAAAAAAAAAAAAAAGGACAAAAAAAAAGCCAACCCAATTTGCATTATTGTATGGAAAGTCAACATTAGGTATCTGTTGTATCTTTGACTGCTAACCAGCCTTGGCAATCTACTATTATGCTCTTCAGTTTTCTCCATTTTTTTTTTTAATTTGGGACCTTGAAGAAGAAAGAAATTTTTCTTGCTTTTCCAAGTGCTGTTTTTCTTGAACTTTGAATTAACTTAGTCCTGTGAAGAAAATTTCTTTCTCTACCAACTATTCAAACTGCAAATAAAAGTAATTACATGAAAAACTTTTCCTTAGAAATGTAAATAGTGAGGAAAAGAACTAATTACTTTTTATTTATAAATAATTTATAAATAATAATATAATTTATAAATCATATAATAATATAAATAAAATATATAAATAATTTTATATATAATAAATATATAATAAATAATTTTATATAATTTATAATATAAATATAATAAAATATATAAATAATAATAATAATAATTTATAAATAATAATATAATATAAATAATATAAATTATAAATAGTTTATAATTTAATTACATTTTACTGTCATATTTAACTATATTTATATTGATGTCACTTATAACTTGAAGAGGGGTTACTTGAGATGCAGCTTTTATATTTTCAAATAACTGTAAAAGATTATAATTGGCCTGAAGTCACATCAGTGGAATATATCAAATCTTACTGATTTGATATCTGGTCTGACTGATACTGGACAGAACATCATTCGGGAATCTGGAAAGCTGTCTGCACCACCRCAGCTAATGGCTTGCAAATTACAATACACATATAAAAAAGCTTTGCCTCTGGTGATCATAATTTGAAATATAATTTCAAGTAGGTACATCTGAAAAAGGAATAAAATTTACATTAAACTSATGGATTTTCTTTTTTTGAATATTAGTCATTCTGCTTCCTCTKCTCTCCTGAGTTTAACCTTTTTTACCTTTCCTTGTTTTCTTCAGCATTACTCCTCCTGCAGCTTTTCTGTCCTGCTTCCTTAATCCTACCAGCTCTTTCCCTGTCAGGCTMTGTCATTCTACTAAAAGACTGGAACACATGACATTACAAAGTCTTGTGCCACAGAACATGCTCAATTTCTTTACATAATACACCGTTTTCCTCCACAGCTCACAGTATTTTTCACCTTACTCAAACTGTCTGATTAGGTTTCAGGAATAAGCCTGAATAACTTCTAGAAATACAGACAACATTTTGAGAACGTAAAAGTACAGTGGGTTGATTTGGAGATTTGGAGGTAGTATTTTAGCTATACATATAGAATTGCCAGCTCCATTTTGTCTGAAATGGTGGGCTTCACGTTCCTGCTTGGTTTTATCCTCAAGCTACAAGACTCTTATTACTAACAGTACTACCAGTAGGATTTCACTGATTACTGTGTCCTGCACCTCTGTTGGATAAAGTAATGAGTTGGTTACGAATCTTCAGAGCAGTATCTTGGCAAACTGTAAAACAACAAATCTACATATTAAGTAGGAATCAGGCTAGCCTGACAGCACACATCACAGCACATAAGATCAGCTGTACTTAGTCAAACTGAAAATCTGTGTAGTCCTTTCATCTCTTTTTGTCAGTAAMAATTAGTGGGTAAATACAGAGGCATAAATTAAGCGAGAATTTGATATATTAGGAGGCTCATGAAGCCAGACATAGAATTTTCTCTCTCCTCCAAATATGAGTYGTAGGAGACTCAAGGACTGTTCATGTTCTTGAGTCTGAATGGCCAAACTGCAATTTAAGGACAGCCATGAGGGCTATACAATTGAATGTCATCCAAATGATATATGGGAGACAAAAGCTCTAATTTCTCTCTTTATGTATGGCAGTACCTATCTCTTCCCACAGAGAACTATAGGAGCATCATTTAACATTTGGAAGTATCATTCGACATTTTGCATTTATTTTCATCACTAAGAAATCTCCRAAGTGATACATAAGTACAATGAAAATACAGGTTTCAAGCATTTCAATTCAGCACTTCATTTCTCTAGAGTCTGTTTTTATCACTGTTCAATTATGCATCCTATACTTGCTGTCAAGAACAGGCACAAAGAAGAAAATGGATGTCTAACTAATACTTAGCACAATAGCTTTAAAGAAAAAGATCACTTTTCTCATATTGTTAATCATTACCAGCATTATTTATTATCATGGGCCTCTCCTCTTAGTAGGAGGTAATGTTCACTGTTGGAATGATAAGTAGGTTTTGAGCTAACTCCATTTTTGACTTAGAATCCAATTCAGTGACCACTCAATGACTTCACCAGGGTCAAGGCCTTAGCACACAAGTTTTCTCAGAGATATGACAAATAGTCTGTGCAAGCCTATTTAATAACTAAATCTCACCGATAATTGGAAGCATTGGAGAACTATTTTTGATATTGAAAATATTGGTGAGGAATAATGGCCTGGACTGAACTCTCAAGAACACATTAACAGCTCCGACTACATGTCTGAAAATGCATATCTGGGAGCTGATTTCACAAAACAAATTGAACTCCTTCAGTTCTTTAAAAATACTGACATAAATGGTTTCTTCTTACTTTCAATATTCTCCAGTAGTGAGATGATTCTTCTAAATTGACAGAGAGGTTATTAGGTTTCTGGCAGAGCTTGAAGCCTCTACCACCTGACTCACCTTTCATCAGATAAAATATGATGATCTGACATCTGCTGAGGAGCTGGCTTGACTTCCTGGGCATTAAACAACACTACAATTTCCTACATTGGTTCAGTGATTCTAATCCAAAATTAAGTTACCAAATTAAACATTTTGGTGGTACAAAGGACTATCTCARTTTTGCATTTTGCAGGGCAAATTTATGACATAGTTTCCTGCAGTGGCAGAAATAAAGAAATTTGGGGAAAAGTACTGTTACAGCTTTTGAAAAAATCACCTGAAAAAAAAGTCAGGATCTGTAATGACTGTTCATCTTTCTACACAAAGGAATTTCTGAATGTGAACAGAAAATCTGACTGGCAAGGAAGCTAATCAAAGGACATTTGGATAGACAGGGATGAGAAAGAGAAGTATATTAATTAATGGGGAAAATACAGGACAGCTCATCAATGAACCAATGAAATCTAAAGTGCAGAAAGAAAAATAGGAAAAGATAGTGAAGAATTCTTCATTTTATTTGTGATACACTGAAGATACTAAGATGAACATAAAGTAAAAAAAAAAATTGATGTGAAAAAATGCTGTAGAAGGGATTGCAAAAACATCTTCTAGGATCTTCCAGTTTCTATATGGAATTCATACGATAACTAATAACTATAATTATAATGTATTGTGTGTATATATATATTTTGGTTATATCTGTTAACAAAGTGAAAAACATGCCCTGATAGGGACTGAGACTGCAGATAATTAATTTTAAGYGGAGTTATGAATAAATTCCTTTTTCACAGAGAAAATAATTGAATCATACATCTAGATTCAAAAACCCAGTCTCTTTCATCACTGCACCTTCTCACCTTTTTATCATTTTAAAGGAAGGGAAAAGAGTCACAGAAGGCCTGGATTAATACAGAACAGCTTTATGGAAACTCACAGAATCACAGAATGCCCAAGGTTGGAAGGGACCTCAGAGGTCATCGAGTCCAACCCCCCTGCACACGCAGGGTCACCTAGAGCAYGTGGTACAGGGCTGCATCCAAGCGAGTTTTAAAGATCTCCAAAGAAGGAGACTCCACAACCTCTCTGGGCAACCTACCTCCTTAGGTAGGAGTGTATGGCACGATGAATGTCTACAATACTTGTGCATGACTGAACCACATTGTGTCAGAGAACGGCAAGAACATCCTGCTGGTGCTGCCTCTCAAAGACAAGAGGTATACTGCCATATACCTCTGTCCTCTTCTTGCTTTCACTGAGTAGAGGAGTGTCACAAGCCAAAAGCACAAAAATTTTATGGTGATCTGTTTTTGTGAACCCTGATCCAACAAGAATATGAGAAAGGGTTGAACGTTTCCCCAAAGCATCTCCGAAGTATTTGTTTCTCTACATTCTGAAGAAAGGCAAAGAATAATCACAGTGGCAGTGAGTGGTCAACCTCTCTTCTCCCAGTGAGACTCAGTGGGAAAAATCCATGAGTAGCCCATCAACTCAAAGAYCTTTCACAGAAYCACAGAATATTCAAGGTTAGAAGGGACCTCTAGAGATCATCTAGTCCAGTCCCCCTGCTCAAGCAGGAACACCCAGAGCACGGGGCACAGGGTGGCATCCAGGCAGGTTTTGAAGACCTCCAGAGAAGGAGACTCCACAACCTCCCTGAGCAGCTTGTTCCAGGGCTCTGTCACCCTCACACCTTCACAGTAAAGTACCTTTGCCACAAGTGAAACTAAAACCATGGCACACAACAGGATTACTGTTTTGTTATTTGGCACATAATTTTCCTTTTTCTGATGTACTTCACAATAGTTTGGGTAAACCATTTGAAGTATGAATTTTAGTTTAGTTTAGCTTTATGGTTGTCCTGGATRTCTCTAGAAGTGCTCCTAATTTATGTTATTTGGGGAAGACAAAACCCAAGTCAGACACAGAGCACTTCTGGCAGCCTCTGTGGCCTAATTAACCCAAATAACCCACAAATGGTGGCATATCAGGTGACATCCAGGAGGCACTATTGCCAAATAGGACTATGTGAAAGCCATCACTACCAGTTTTTACAGACTTGTAATGTAGTTGGGATGTTTTCTTTTCAAAAGTTGCCATAGATCTGTTTATTAGGCCACCAGAGGGCAATCCCACACACCCATATACAAGGAACAAGCATGGAAATCTGTGTGGTCAAAATTTTAAGAGTGTAAGTCAACGTTCCAGAGGAAAAAGAAATGCAAAATACAAGTTTATTTGGATATTCTAAGAAAAGAAGCTCTTTTTATGCTCACAAACACACTTCCTATCTGATTTTTGAACTGGGTTCTTAAAATCAAAATGCTAAGAAGAGCTTTTATAACATTCTTCCTGGGAGCAAACATGYCCTAACCAATTAGAGAAACAAGGAATCGTGACTGGAGCTATTCTACACTTCAAACGCAGAAGTCTTTGACCTTTGCAAAGAAAAATGTGGAAATACCCTAGGAACATTTTCAATAGTCTTCCATGCTACTGGCAATACAGTAAACCTAGAAGTGTTTATGAAGTATTCATATCAGGTCAGTGCTGCATACAGTTTGGATTGTGCTCCCTATTAAGTATTAAGGTGGTATCGAACAGCATGTGAAAAATGTAAACATTAGCACTCTCCTTTATCCTTCTCACTGCGGAAAATTACACACTGCACACATAAARATATCTCTATAAGTATCTCTATCTCTAAAAAGCTCTCTATAGAAGGCAAATATACAACAATATGGATTTTCAGGAAAACATTTCTAAAATAAAATATAAAGTATTTTCAGATATAATTACTGTAATATGAAAGGGTCATAAAATGAAGTAAATCATTTTATTTTTCTAAGCAATTTACACAATCTTTATTATTCTATTTACAGGCTGATTTTAGAGAATAACAAACAAGAAGCTAAGTTTTTCAAAGCTGTGGGATGCCTAAGATATTAGTCGAAATAATTTTCTAAATAACATGCGAGAAATTCTGCAATTCTAACCAATACACTTCTTGTGAAACAAATGAAAAAGATTAAAATCATTCTAAAGAAAACAACATTTGTATGATTTAGAGCTATTTTGAAAAAGCAGTATTTGATAACCACTTTTAAAATAATAATGCCTGTTAAGTGGATTGCAGAGGAATGAGTAGTGAATGCACATGCATTCTAAAAGAGGAAGTCTTACCCTGAGTCTCTGAACTTGACAGCCTTGTTTCTCTGTCATTTTCAGAAAGTGACTGAAGTTTGACTCATCCAGCAGGAGATACACTGCAATCCCTCTGGCAGATGCCTCTACAATTTCTCTGAAGATATCCACATCTGTAAACACATCCATAACTATGGCAATGACCTGCATGAAAAAGACACATTTACTGCATTGTATAAATTCATATGTAATATTATCCACTGAAGTTTGTAGCACACAGCTCACAGACTAATATTTTTACCCATACAAAAGTTCTAATATCTTCCATGTGGCACAACTTAACCTTGGAGGCTTCTGAAGATCATGGATCGTCTTTTTGAAAAGTCAGCTCATGGCATGTGTGACATTATTCACATGCACCAAAGTCTGTCAAAAGGTTGTTTTGTGGAGGTGTATCAGGATGGGTGGTATGTGAGAAAAAGGATGCTAAGTGGGAAAGAGGAAATGGAGAAATGGGGAAACACTAATACTCGGAGAGAAAAAATGCAAGCATCATAATATAAAGTTGCAGTGTAAGTCCAAAAATGAAAATCTGAATACATTTCTTGTACAAAGAGCTGGTTCATCTTAATTTAAATACTGTTCAGGGTTTTCATCATCTTTTATGAAGCTAATAGCACAAGAGTTTGAAGGAATCAGTGAGGAGATATTGAAAAACTGGAGTAAATTCTCTAGGATTTAGGAGTAAACTCCTAAACTCCTAAACTCCTAAACTCCTAAACTCCTAAACTCCTAGATCCTAGATTTAGGATCTAGGAGTAAACTCTAGGATTCATGCTGATTCAGCACACTCATTTGGATGAAACTTCCTTAGTTGGTTAGGGAGATCAGAAAATGCTTAACATCAAGCTTTGGAACTTTTCAATATGCAATTACTGGAATTGAATTACATTCAATTACTAAAAATAATAGGTATTTCTGACTGGGAAAAACAAAAAACAACAAAAAAAATCACAATGTCCTGCTAATGGTATTTTGGAGACAACAGACTTTTAATTTGCCATCAGCAATTTGGAATGAAATGTCAGAGGAAATAACACATGAACAGGTGTCTGTGTAATTTTAAAAGATAATATTCTTATCCATTAGATTCTTCATAGAAAGTTCTAGTGAGGCATCTTTGATGTGACATGCTCTATGATGCTCATACAAATTCAAATCAAATGATGCCTTTCACAGGTATCAGGGCAGGCTTGACAAAACCTTGCTTTACCAGTATCACCATGTTTTAAACTCTCCATACCTTAATTGTAACATTGTAATTGTTAAGTTACAATCACTAATTTTCATCTAGAATTGAAATATTTGTCTCCTTCACAAAATTAAGCAAATGATATTGCACACACCACAAGTTTTTTCTGCAGTCAGTCATCTGAATCCTGCCTGCTTAGAAAAGACTCACTTATGCCAAATATGCACTTTCTACACTGCAAACATTAATGTCTTTTAGACAGCTGTTCTAGGAGAAAAAGAATAAAAGTAAATAATCATTTTCATTAAGAAAGTTAAAAAGATAAGGCTTTCACAACTCCTTAAGCATTAAAAATTAGCAGACTTGATCTTTACCATAGCATATTACCTGTAAGTAGAAGGAATATTTACAAATTCATCAGATGAAGAGGAACTGAATAGCATGAAATCATTTTCAAAATCATAGATTTCAAAAATATAGATAACATATGTACTACATAATTAATTTTAACGAGTTTTGAAAATAACATTGAATGTGATTCTTAAGAATGCAAATTATTTCTGAACCTAAATTTGAAAGGAAACCATGACAAACACATAAGTTTATCCTGACTGTAAGAATATAATCACTTTTAGACTGCTCCTTCTGCTTGGTCTTCTTTCTGAAATAGGCAAAGTTAAGTGAACATGGCAACACTACTTATTTATCTGTTTTGCTTCACTTATGTCTGACCAGAAATCTGCCAAAACAGATCAAGCAAAAAGATCAAAGAAGCAGTTCTGTGCTCAAATAATTGTTTTGTTTTGTTTCACTATGTATTTGTAGCCTCTCCTTCTCAACTCCCTAACTTCTTAACCTTTCCTTTTCTTCAGAGCTTTCATAAACTTTTGCTCATCGCATCCATAAAAATTGTTGCTCATTAGATATCCACAAAAATGTAAGAGATACACTTGGAATAGATTCATCGAAGTACACTGATGTAAATACATGAAATATTCAAAGTCATCAGTACATCCTTCAAAATCCCTTCTGACATTCTCCTTTGGCAGGAATCTAATAATCTGATATGTTAACCTGTTTGTAGGGTTTGTGGTTATGAAGTCTAATATACTGGAAGTGAACCTTCAGAAGACTTCATTAACTGACTAAATATTAACAGAGATGGAATGGAAGGAAAAAAGAATAAGCAATAAAATAAATTTAAAAAAAATGGAACTATGATGAAAAAAATGGACTATGATGGAAATATCTATCTTTGACATATCTGTTTTTACAAAGAAAAGAAGACACAAATAAACAAATATGCAAGCAGGCCAGTAAGTCGATGACATGAGAGTGCTGCATGTGGACAATAGCAAAAATAATCACTTTTGTTGAAGATATAGATATATACTACCTCCTAAAGATGAAGAGGGGCCTCCTCTTTGTCTTCACTGCTAGAATTAATCTTAAATCAGTTATCTTGGAAATTCTGTAGTGATTTCTACAAGGTACTAAACTAGTGTTGCRAGAAAAAAAAAAGCTGGTTTTACTGTCAGACTTTCAATAGGCATTGTATCCTAAAGGCTAAACCTTGCAAAAGCTGAAAATTCCTCACAGATCTAAGGAAGTGCAGCCAAAGCCATGGACATGATCTGACCACTGACTGTTCATCCATTTTTTTGTCCCCTGCAGACCTAAGGCTGGTCACAAAGGAAGCCCTCATTAAATCAGCTCAGTCATTCCTAGCAACACTCGGTGCATCTAGTCAACACAAACATAATTAAGCTCAATTGCTGGAGGAAGAAGACTGCCAAATTGAACAATGTATATGATATACAGTGATAAGAGATAACAGTCCCAAAGATGAAGTCATTTCTGTAAACTGACTTGCATAACTCAAACCAGATGTTTGCTTACAAAGTGTAAACTTCAAAATAGAGTGGATTCCTTAGAATACGCTGGTTTTGAAATTTGTCTTCCCTTAGTTTTTAATTCTTGGGTATTTTTACCTATACACTTGCTTACTTTTCAGCAGAGAGGAATACTGAGCTTGGGGAAAGAAAGCCAGTAAGGAACCGAGGCTTCCAAGGTCTGCTAAGRGGACCAGGCCTAAGCAGTTACTCTGAAGTTTGTATTCCATAACATCTGCATACCTTGATCAGAGCCCTAACCGGTAACAGCTGTAGGATTAGCTACTTGTGGCTGTTTGGAATAAAAGATTTCACCATGGTGTGTCACATTCAGTTTTTGAAATTGCAGAGCTTATTCCTGCCCTGTTAATGGTAAGAAGAAACCACATAACTGTGAAAAACAGCAAGGAAGAGGAGAACTGATAGAATTCAAAGTGCACAGAAGAGGACAGAAAATTGCCTGTTCCACAAATTCTGTTTCTTATGGACATAATGGCACTATGCTGGAGAAAAGCAGAACAATCCAGTGCCTTATGCTTGACATAAGCAAGCACCTATGTTTTCCTGGCACATACAAAGGCAATCCAACATTGCAGGGGAGACTGAATGGGTGTCCTAATTCCCAGCTGAACAACACCTGAATTCCTAGAGAACTTTCCAAACCTTGGGCACCCCAGTATAGGAGGGACGTGGAGCTTCTCGAGAGGGTCCAGAGAAGGGCAACCAGGATGATTAAGGGAATGGAACATCTCTCGTATGAAGAGAGGCTGAGTGAGCTGGGCCTGTTTTCTCTGGAGAAGAGACGGCTCAGAGGGGATATGATTAATRTGTATAAGTTCAGGAAGGGAGAATGCAGGGAGGAAGGGGACAAGCTGTTTTCCCTGGTGGCCAGCGATAGGACGAGGGATAATGGCCACAAGCTGAAGCACAAGAAGTTCCGTCTCCAGGTGAGGAGGAACTTCTTTACTGTTAGGGTGACAGAGCCCTGGAACAGGCTGCCCAGGGAGGTTGTGGAGTCTCCT